AAAAAAAAACACCTTTCCCGTCATAGCTTCTGTAGTATAGGCATAAAAGTATTTTGTTAAGAATTCCATGTTTTTGGTTAAGTAGCTTTTGTGGAGAATAATGGCATTATTACTTATATTCTCCCTTCAGGGTAACTGTGTGTATCAGTTGGCTGGAGTTTGCATCTCATATCCTGGACTGGTGCCCTTTGATGTGCTGGTGCAAAATGAGTTTCGGGGAAGCAGAGTGGTGACGTTCACTAAATTACTGCAGATCAGAGTGTACAATCTCACCATTGTTATCGATAGAGAATACAGCGGTTCTGTTACTGTAAGTTGCATGCTTTAAACCTTTGGCAAACAGTTTTATCTTTCCATATAGCTTGGTGATGTTACAGTAAGTCATTCAATGATAAATTTAAGCAAAGTTGGCTTTCTTTTTCAGGTCAATGGTGAGCTGTTGAACCTTCCTCTCCACCTTATTGAAGGTCAGGTTTCTGTTTTCAGAAGTGGCTGGTCTGCTGTTGTTCAAACCTCTTTTGGTCTCAAAGTCACATTTGATTGGAACAGCTTTGCCACCGTCACCATCCCCAGCACCTACATGGATGCCATCTGTGGCCTCTGTGGAAACTACAATGGAAATCCAGAAGATGATCTGACTGTCAGAGGAACAGCGTTACCTGCTTCAGGACCGTTGGAGTTCGGTGCCAGCTGGAGTGTAGCCGAGATCCCAGACTGTGTCCATGGCTGCACAGACAGTTGTCAGGATTGCGACCCGACCAGAAGGAGTGTCTATGAGACGTCTGATTTCTGTGGGCTGCTGCGTGACCCACAGGGGCCTTTCAAGGACTGTCAAACTGTGCTAGACCCTGCTTGGTTTTTTGAGGATTGTGTTTATGATGTCTGTTTATATAACGGAAGGAGAGATCTACTATGCCAGGCCATAACAGCATATGTAACTGCCTGTCAGGCAATGGGAAGGACCATCAGCCCCTGGAGAACTGCTGAATTCTGTGGTGAGAGAACCCCGGGGCAATTGTATCTAGAGATTTTTGAGAAACTGTATACATGGTAATATTGTGTTCATACACAAGAGTTTTTGTAGGTATAGCGATAGACTTTCTAGCAAAGACACTGCAGTCCCAGTTCCATTCATGTCAACAAAGGCCTTGCAAAATGTAAAGCAGAGCACAAAAACAAAGATGCTAAGGATAGAAGGGTGTGTTAGTACATTCCGCATATGGCTATTGAGTTCAAAATCAAACCTGACATGTAATCTAGCCTGGGTGTTTTCAAACTTTTTGATGCCACGGACTCCCAAATAAGAGGATCTCCTTGCAAGTCTCCTCTTTCCGAAAATATAAAGGCAGCTATATTTTTGGGTGTCAATTTGAAAAACCCTGATCCAGCCCATCAATAAGAACAAGAATTCACAGCCATAGTGGCATTTCTGCTAGTTATTATTTAACTAATTAAATTTATGTATATTTCGAATCAGAGCTTAACCCATCACATGTCTTTGTTTTGTCAGGTGTTCAGTGTCCCGTCCACAGCCACTATGAGCTCTGTGGCTCTGGTTGTGAAGTCACCTGTCATAGTTTGGCTCCTCCCGCTGGCTGTCGTAGTGGCTGTATGGAGGGCTGTGTGTGTGACAAGGGCTACATCAGGAGTGGGGACCGCTGCGTCCCCTTCTCTCAGTGTGGGTGTCTTTATGGCAACCGCTACTACTTGCTTTACCAAAAGTTCTATCCTGGCAATAACTGTGAGGAGGTGTGCATGTGTTTACCAGATGGCCAGGTATGATGACAGTGAAAATATACTACTGTTCAGAGATTTGTTCAGACATTTTTAGGGGCCAAGCACCTATTGTATCAATTTGTTTTCTTATTATTATTATTATTATTCCTCCTTCTTCTTCTTCCACTCTGGAAGTCTATGGCAGCCCATAGAACTGCTTGCGGGAAAGTTATGAAATTTGGCACACAGATAGAGGACAGTCTCAATATTAACCATAGCAAATTTGGAGTCTCTATCTCAAACTCTCTAGCGCCACCAATAGGCCAAATTTGCACTCATATTTCTGCTAATAACTTTTGAACCGTAAGGTCTGAAAGCAAAATTATTTTTTCCTCCGATTCCTTGGCTCATGCCAAGTCGAATGCATACATTTCTACAGGTCAAGATTTTTTGCAATTTTGAATTATGCAAAAAGAAATCTACTTTTTCAAACATTTTTTTCCAGCACTGCGCCACTTACTGGTCAAAATATATTTTTTTAAAAATTGGCATTTCTGCTTATAACTTCTGACCAGTTTGGCCAAAAATCAAGATCAAGATTGGTCAAGATTGGTCTTGTTAGATTCGGAACGGCATAACAAATCAAATGATAACTAATTTTCCTATGTCAGCCTTTTTGGGCATCAGCCATTTTGAGTTTTGTAGTAAAATGCTGCTTCAACAAATGTCTTTAACAGGGGTCTCCACCCCTACTTCTGGAAAGCTGCCATACTGCAGAGTTCAGCTTCAACCCTAATTAAACACACCTGAATCAGCTACTCAAGGTCTTCAGGGCTACTTAATTACAGACAGGTGTGTTGAAGCAGGGTTGGAACTTAAGGGTGTGTTCACACGGCCCTCTGCTCATTTTGTTTTGGTTACACCGTGTCGTCAAATCTTGTCGCATAGCGTCACATCTTGTCATTACTTCCAGTTTTTGGTTTGTTTAGAACTTGAAGTATTTGGTCCATGTTGCGTTCATATATCATTCGAACCGCATCAGAGTTCGTTTGGAAGCGGACCAAGACCCATCTCTTTAGCGGTCTCGGTCCACTGGTTTGGTGCGCACCAGGGTTCGGATGGCAGCGTTCACACTTACTCAAACGAACCGCACTAACAGAGCAATCGGACCAGGGTTCATTTTAATCTATCCAAACATGACAAGTGTTTGTTGTTTTTTTGTAGCTGTCCTTGTATTTATTTATCATTTTGAGCAGGAGTCAAGGATTCATCGGGAAAACATTTTTAAAATGCACCTACTAGGAAGAAGAGCAACAAGACGGCATTATAAAATTAAAAAGTGCGCTTTTTTATTTTGAATGGCGACGACGTGCTCACCCACAGACATTCACAGGTTCATTTTGAGGTATTAGCAAAACAACAAAGCTAATGCTTTTCACGGAACTTACGTAATTACCCATCATAAATTGTGATATAGCCTGGTCCGTTGGATCGGATTGCTTTCTCACTACAACCGAACCGCTCCAGAGTTCGTTTTCAATCAAGCCGAGACCACCTCGTTCAGGCGATCTCGGACCGATCGTTTTGGCGCGGATCCGAGCGCGATTGCCATGTTCACATATGCCCAAACGAACCGAGCTAAGGGGGAAACGCGCCAGGTTCCGAAACAACGGGCCAGGTGTGAAAGCACCCTAAGTCTGCAGGAAGGCAGCTCTCCAGGAGCAGGGGTGGAGAACCCTGGTCTTTACTGAGTATTTAAAGACAGCTCCTTAGCTCTTTACAGCTGTTGTGCTTGACCCCTTAGTTGCTGCTTGCAGCTATAGTTAAGTGATTGGTTTGGATGTTTTTATCTTAAGGACAGGGTTCACAAGAATCACATAATGATAAACTACTTTTTTCATTGATCTTTTGAAAATATTGGTGTGTCTAAAATCACATGTCTGAATAGGTACTATATTTGAATTTGAACCTACCTGCATCAGTTGCGTTGCTTCATTGTAATTCATATATCCTCTCCCATGGCCTCATGGGATAGTAAAGTGTCCATCGAATGCACACTTCAGAATCGCAGCAGTAGTAGGTTACAATACTATGAATTCAGACATACTATTCTTTTGGCATACTGTTTTTTTTGCGTACTATATAGTAGGGAAGTATTCAATTTTAGACGCAGTATATGAGTTCAGTCTTCTGCCCCGATTAAAGGTTTGGAAATAAGATTTATTGAACCTAAGTTGCATATAATCAGAGCAACTTGGAGCAGAACATACAGTACATGGGTTTTCTTCAATAACTTTTCTATTCTATTAGTAGAAAAATAGTTACATTTTTGTAATAAAATGGCCAACTCATTTGTCTTGCTAAGGCTATTTTCATAGCTAGCATTTTTGTATATTCTAAATAGTAAATTAAATGATATTTTTGTATTTTTTATACATTATTATTGTTAAACATATACATAAGTTATACATTCTTTTGATATGATAAATGATATTCAGACTTTATTTAAATCCTTGTTTTGATTAGCATAGGTTTAAAGTATAAAACAATAAATTTTATTTTTTCCACCAGTCATTAATAAGATATTTGATGTGGCACTATTTTTGACAGCTTTTCTTTTCATTTCTTGTTAGTTGTTGAGCTATGTGACATGAGTTGAACTTGCTGTATTTGTATTTCAAATAATTTTTTTTAAACTCATGTTACAAATCTTGCCCCATACAAAAACATTAATACAATGCTTTTCTTTCCACAGGTGGTCTGTAATAGGTCATCGTGTGGCCCCTATGAGAGTTGCGAGTTGGTGGACGGCGTTCACAGATGCCAGCCAATCAGACAGGCCTTTTGTGAAGCTTCTGGAGACCCACACTATGTGTCCTTTGATGGGCTGCGCTTTGATTTCCAGGGAACCTGTACCTACATTCTCTCCCAATCCTGTGGCCTGGAACGGACCAACCTGACCCATTTCTCCATCCAGGTGGAGAATGAGAGATGGTGGCCCGATAGATATCATAAAGTGTCTGTTACCCAGCAAGTGGCCTTAACTGTCTACGGCAGCACCATCATCTTAAGACAAAATGAGCCCCAGATCTTGGTAAGTGGAGGTTTGTCTGCTTTTGTTCTGCTCAATGAAGCTCCCATAATGTGATTTTGAGTCCCTTTTACATGTTAAACTGATGTTGAAATACTCTAAATGTGGTAGGACTCTAATATGACACCATTCCCACAGGTCAATGGGGTTTTGACTAACCTCCCATATAGTTCAAGCAGTTTAAATGGCTTCTTGGTCCAGGCCTATAAGGACGGTATTTACTACATCATCAAGACCGGCTTTGGTCTCTATGTGACCTATGACCTGTCTTACTACGTCACTGTTACCATTCCTGACAACTACCGCAACAAGACCTGTGGACTCTGCGGCAACTTTGACGGCATCCCTTCAAATGACTTCCGTCTCCCAAATGGCAATATTACACGGGACGTAAATGTATTCGGGAGAGCCTGGAAAGTCGATGTCCCTGGAGCCGTGTGTGAGGACGGATGTGAAGGCGACACATGTCTGGACTGTGATCCTCGACTGAAAGCCATCTTTGAGAAGCCTCCCTACTGCGGAGTTCTGGTTGATCCCAACGGGCCGTTTGCCGCCTGTCACGCTGTGCTGAACCCCTCAGCTTATCTCAACGACTGTGTCTTTGATACCTGTGCATCCGATGGCAGCATAGGGGTTATTTGCGATAGTGTGGCGAGATATGCGTTTAGTTGTCTTAGAGCCGGAGTCGTTACCCAAAGATGGAGGACAGACAATTTCTGCCGTAAGTTTGTTCTTGTAGAGAACTTTTTTATGATTCCTGATCATAATTCCTTAATCAAATAGGACAGCAAAACAAAGGGATTATTATGTCTCATAACACAAAAACAAACTTTTTTTTAAACCAAAATATATTTGAAACTTATTGTAATTGTCATAAACAGCATAGCTGGAAGAAATATACTACTGTTCAAAAGTTTGTGGTCAGCCAGATTAGTTTTTAAGAAATTAATAATAGCAATGACGCATTGAATTGATCAAAAGTGACAGTAAAGTGTTCTCGTCCAATCATTTTAATTTTTGTCTTCACCATTGTGTTCCAGCAATGTCATGTCCAGCTCACAGTCACTATGAACCGTGCACAGACGTCTGCTCTGCTGCCTGCCCTGGTCTGACTACGATAATCCAGTGTCCTAAAACCTGCACAGAGGGCTGCGCTTGTGACGACGGTTATCTGTTTGATGGCCAGCAGTGCACTGAACACCAGCAGTGTGGGTGCTATCAGCAGGGACGCACGTATAAGGTGAAGCGATGGCTTTGTGATCATTGTGTCTAGCATTCTTTCTTTTCTTGTGCTGTTTGTGACCGAGTTTGTGTTTTCAGGCTGGGGAGGTGGTTTACCTGGACCAGTGTCTGCAGAAGTGTCGATGTGATCCAGTGAATAGACTTACATGTGAAAGAGCAAACTGTCCTAACGGCACACAGTGTTTCCTTAGAGCGGGAATGTGGGGCTGCTTTTACCCAGGTTAAGATGTACAAAAAAACTGGAATAATGCAATAAATTAAACAACATCTGTAATCTGTTCTTAAATGGCACTTTTTGTGTTTCTTCTCGCTGCTTCTGTCTACAGATCCATGTCAAGACCTCCACTGTCGAGAGAAAGAGTCATGCCGCTTTGAAGGTGGCAATGCTGTGTGTGTGCCCCAGTACAACAGCACATGCTGGGCGTGGGGTGATCCGCACTACCACACCTTTGATGGCCATGAGTATGACTTCCAAGGCACCTGTAAATACGTCTTGTCTAAGACCTGTGGGAATCTGAGTGGACTGGTGCCCTTCTCTGTAACCCAGAGCAATGAAAACCGTGGAAACCACGATGTGTCTTATGTGCGAGAGGTGGAAGTTACTGTATATGGCAGCACTTTTACTATGGTGAACCACCATACAGGACAGATCATGGTAATGAGTTACTGCACATGTTTTTACCAAAATTTTAAAGATACATACTCACTCAGGGTCATCTGCACTGTCACAGTATGATTTTTAATTCATTGTGTGCTATGAACAGACCAACTCAGCCTGATTGTCTTTAAAACAGTGCCTTTTTAAATAAATAAACATGAAACGTCAACCTCAATTATTAATTTCATGAATGTAGTCATAAAAAGAAATAAGCTTTTATTAGTGTAATATTTTATTGATACTTTTATTTTAGATTTGTAGATTTATATATACTTTTATATAATTTAGATTTTATATAAACTTTATATATTTGATCTATATATATATATATATATATTAGTTAATTTAAAACATCCAATAATATTTTTGTGCAAATTTTAAAAGTTCTTTGGCATATTTTAAAAGCAAGATTATTTCTGTTTCACTCCATTGTCATATTTGTTTAAATATTACAATATTTTTCCCACAATAATAAGAATATCGGGAGTCATTAATATGAAATTAGACCTTAAAATAAAGTGTCATCAATTTTTTTTTACATTAAAAAGCACTATCATTCTGTTTTTCCTCTGTCAGGTGGATGGTTTGTGGTTTTATCTTCCTCTTGATCATCATGATGGCCGTGTGAGGGTAAGACAGAGTGGCAATGCTGCTCTGTTGGAAACCGACTTTGGTCTGCGTGTCTCTTACATCTGGGGCTGGAGGGTTGACCTGCATCTGCCCAGTAGTTACTATGGAGTTGTGTGTGGCCTGTGTGGAAATTTCAACGGTAATGGTGGAGATGAGCGGAGAGACCCTGCTGGAAACCTTCTGCCAAGTCTGTACCAGTTTGCAAAGAGCTGGAGAGCAGAAGACAGTGTCACATCTGCGTGTCACGATGGCTGTGAGACCGACTGCCCTGTTTGCTCTCGTGACCTACATGCCCTCTATGAAACAGACGCTTTCTGTGGTGTCCTGACATCTACAGGCCAGAGTGTCTTTAGTGCATGTCATGCTAAAGTGAACCCACAGGCGTTCCAGCAAAGCTGTGTGTATGATCTGTGCTTCAATAACGGAGACCGAAGACTTCTCTGTCAAGCTCTGGAGACTTATGTCGATCTGTGTCGTCAAGAGGGTGTCATTATTACAGATTGGAGAGGGAGATTCAATTGCTGTAAGTTTGCTGAACGCTCATAGTGCACGTTTGTATGCTTAACTTTAACCATGAACCTGTTCTTGTTCTTCAACAGCTATGAACTGCCCACCCAACAGTCATTATGAGGCCTGTGCGTCTCCGTGTCCAGCGACGTGTCCGTACCCAAATCAGCAGCCAAATTGCACTGATACCTGTGTGGAAGCCTGTGTGTGTGACAGCGGATTTGTCCTCAGCGCTGACACTTGTGTGCCCACCAATCAATGTGGCTGCTTCTATGAAGGCGCTTACTACCAACAAGGCCAAACTTTCTGGGCTGATGAGCAGTGTCATCGGCTTTGCGAGTGTGACCGTAACTTAAGTGCTTTGGTGTGTCATGAATCTTCCTGTGCTGTCGGTGAGAGCTGCTCGATTGTTAATGGAAGTCGCAGATGTCGGCCAGTGAGTCGCGCCGCCATATGCATAGGCTCAGTAGACCCACATTACCGCACATTCGACGGATTCCATTTTGACTTCCAGGGCACGTGTGTGTATCAGTTGGCAGCCCTGTGCATTCATAATGCGAGTCTTGTACCTTTTAACGTGACAGTTAAGAATGATCATCGTTGGAGCAGCGCAGTGAGCTTCACTAACACTGTCAATGTGACTGTGAATGGATTCACCATCACATTGACCAGAGAACATCCGTATCAATTACTGGTGAGTGCAGTCACATAATATACACTAGCAGGGTTGAGAAACATTCAGAATCAGTTCTATTTGAAAAAATATATATCTATATAAAAGACTTAATGATGTTTGGTTCCATTAATCATTCACACACTGGCATAGAGTATTTTAACAGGGAATAGAATTAATCTGTTTTTTTTTGTAACACTGTTAATTCTTTTATTTGTTGCACTAATGAATATGCATTACAAAACAGACTAGTGTAGTTCAAATCCCCAAACAAATGACTCTGAGTTAGTTATTTTAGTGAATCAAATCCATCCTGAATGACCAGTATAGTCCGATTCCCAAAGAAATTACTGAGTTGGTTCTTTTTAGTAAATATTAAAGGCCAAGTATTGGATTGCACTAATGTGGACAGTTATTAAAACACCTGTGTAAACTACAGCAAATACACAAAATAATGTTATTTTTAGCAACGTCATATGACGCCTTTAATTCACTTTTTTTTTTTCACTGAATTTTGTTTATTTATACAATTAACTTGCATTTTTTTCCCTATGTTTTTTTTTTTTTTTTTTTCAAAAATACTAAAAGATTTATGAATGGAACTTTTAAAGAACCGGAATTCGAATCAGAATTGGAATTGGAATTCTTATTTTTTTTATGTTTCCCAGGCCTACACACTATTTAAACTGTTTCAATTAAATGAGCACTTCTGTAATAGTAAACAAATGCGTTTTAATTTCTCTTTAGTTTGATGGCCAGCTAGCAGAACTTCCCTTTTGGATTCAAGATGTGTTTGTAGTTGTCCGCAGCGGAAACATTGCTGTTGTGAAGACAAACTTTGGTCTCCAGGTGACCTTTGACTGGTCCAATGTGGTGAGCGTCACTTTGCCTAACAATTACAGTGGTGCAGTCTGTGGACTCTGTGGAAACTTCAACGGTGTTGCTCAGGATGACCTTGCAATGCACAATGGTATGATGGCACCCAATGCCAGTAGTCTGGGACAGAGCTGGCAGGTTGCTGCAACACCTGGCTGTTCCTCCGCTGGTTGTGTTGGCGCTGGATGCTCAACCTGCACTGCGACCCAGAGGGAGAACGCCCAGCGCTACTGTGAGATCATCACAAACCGGACAGGGCCTTTCAGAGAATGTCATGCGCAGATTGATCCCAGATCTTACCTAGAGGATTGCATATTCGACACCTGCCACTTCCAAGGACATCAGGTTGTGTTGTGTGATGCAGTGGCAGCCTATGCATCTGCTTGTCAGAGTCAAAATGTCACGGTTCACCCGTGGAGAAATGCTACATTCTGCCGTAAGTAACTAACTGATTTTTTGTTTGTTTGTTTGTTTTGTTAGTTTTTTATGAATATGAAGCTGAATATGTGTGCTTGATGAAAATAAAATGAACAATGAAACTGTTTCAATAACTGAGCCCAAATCAGTGTTACTCTTGTGGACAAAATTACTGCCAAACATGTCAATTACTAGGGATGTAACGATTAATCGCGAGCTGGTTGAAAATCGATTTAAATATGTGACGATTCAAATCGGTTGAGATGCTAAACAAATCGCGATTCAGTTAGGGGTAGGAGTTTATATGAATGTATGTCTGAGGGGAACTTACTGTCTTTCGATGGTATTTTT